GTAGAGATGAGGTCTCGCCAAGTTGCCCAGGCAGGTCTCGAACCTGCGGGCTCAGGCAGTCTACTCACCTCAGCCTCCCAAAGGCGCAGGATTACAGGCTGAGCCACCGAGCCTGGCTAGGTAGCTATATTTTTAACGGGCCTCCCTACTACACGCTGGGTTCTATACTTAGGTGTTTTGCACATAATCTCACCAAATGATGAAATAGAGGTTTAATTTGCCCACTGTGCACAGGGTTTCATGTTCTTGCATTGAGAGTTTTAAAAAGTCATTTAGGGGTGAAGGGAGAAAAAACACTTAATTGCCTTTCCCTTGGGCGGAAGATGTCCAGAGGGAACATCTCTTAGGACTCAACTTTCCACTTGGTTCTCTGGGTTCCAAATTTCAGCAGGTGATGTTGAAAGGAAAAAGGCAGACTTGGGGGACAGAAATGAGAAATAAGGAAGTTAGGAAGACGTAGGAACTAAAGCAAGGGAACAAAATGAAGAACCAAGGAAGCTGGGTGCACCTCTTCCTTGGTGTCCAATGACCTCTCACTCTGCAAACCTCTCAGCTTTCTTATAAACAATGGCAAGCATAAAGAAGGACAAAATTATGAACTTCGCAGCAACTTGGATGGACTATAATACTGAGTGATCTATCACAGAAAGAAAGAACTGAGTACCACATGTTCTCACTCACAAGCGAAACTTGAACTATAATATTATGAGAAAGGGATTGGCAGTAGTGGGAAACTGCCAGGGGTGGAGGCACACCTCATCAACAATGCATAGTGAGCATTTGTACACCTAACCTTGAATTTTACCCTACATCTTCAAAATAAACAAATTTTTAAAAAAACAATGGCAGAAACAGAATCATGGAAGGATCTCTCTGGGGTTCAATTTCTCCACAGCAATCCCTTTGTTGAGTTTCTAAGCCACTATCATCTCTTACCTGAATCAAAGAAGTTCTTATACTCCTTGTACCAAATGTAAGATCCTCACACTGACTTAATATGCAAAATTGGAAGGTTTTTTTGGTGGAACTCACTTTCCAATATATAGAAGAAATCTGGGGTGCTCTATTCAAGAAAACAATCATCATAGGCACATTACTAATAATCAAAGAAACACCGCACTAAGGCTGTGAACAGGTTAGCATGGCCCCTTCCGTTCCCCGCATGGAAGCCAGAATGACCTTTCAGGTGGTGTGTTTCAGATCATATCACTTTCCTGCCTGATCCCTTCAGTGCGACTCCTTAATAAGGCCTCCAGGGCTCTCCCACTCTGGCCCTGCCTGTCTTCCTACGTCTCATGCCACATCCCCTCTATCTTGCCTTCTTTCCATCTCTGGAACCCAGCAGGCCCATTCCTGCCTCGGAGCCTCTGTACTGCTGTTCCCTCTGCTCCCTGTTCTTCCCGGGACTGCCGGCCCCTTCTTATCCATACCTCAGTTCTCACTTCCTAGAAGTGGCCACCTTATCT